AAATCAAATGCAGAATTCTTTACTCATTTTACCTTGTTGCTTGTTGACCTACCTATACATAAAGCTCAACAGCTACTCAAAGTCTTCAACAGCCAAGTCCACAAAAAAGTTACCAAGTCAAAAATTTGAGAACTAACCTGACTCTCTTGGTTGGAATTTGTAAGTTACAAAATTGGAATTGGAAGCTACAAAAGTATACCTGAACACAGATGAATAAGAAAATATTTCAGCATTCAGAAGTTTTATTCTGAGTTCTTAAAGAGAACTAACTAACTTAAAGAGATCTAAAACGTGCTCTCATTCCACAGTCAATACTGGAGATCTCATTTTAGGACAATGTCCAGTTTTCAATCCTTTTTCACCTGATTAAAGAAAAACCCCTCAAAACAATGAAAAGTCTTTGTCCAAACAGAACTGCTATCATAATTCTTCCTCATGGCTGTTTGATTCATGTCCTGGAACCTTTTCATCTATAAAAGGAGGCTAGAGTAAACATTTCTACCTGTGTACGTTCCTGATATATTCTGCCACGTGCTGAGACGGACCATTTCTATTTGTGCTCATGCTGTTCTGCACCCATTTGGGTACAGAAGTTCATCACTTCATCTCTGAAAGTCAGGTAATAAATGCACATCATCTTCCTGAAAGAAAAGCTCAAGTGGTGATTTTGGTCTCAGAACATCAACACTCAAAGCAGATAATGCAGAATTTTTCAACATTTTGAGAAAGATGAACTCACCAACAGCGGTTACAGACAGTTTGGCCCTGTATTATCGCATCCTGCAGGGAGATATAATTATGTACTTTTTTCCACATTTAGTCCAAAATGTATCCCTTGATTTTAATGATATTATGTAACACTTCACAATAATCAAAAGAAAGAAAGCGAGAAAGACTGCTGGGGATGAACCACCACGTATGGAACCTACAGCAATGGAAAGCAACCTTTTGCAACAACAGCTTTAGAGAACTCAGGCAGCAGCTGCAGATTTTTGCTCCCATTCAAGAAGGCCTGTACGATCCAGGAGATGCTTGGGAAGAGGTCAATTCCTGGCTGCCAGAGCACTCAGCAGGAGAAAAGTCTTCATGAAAAGGGCTAGATGAACTACTTTGGGGCATCTACCTTAGATTTCAGATCCTCAGAACAGTAATGAGTGGGAAAGGCAGTACTAATTTCAGGGAAGAAAAATCAGGACTACCTAAACTAATTTCCTGTTTGTAAAGCCTTAGCTTGGTTTAATTAAACTTTATTAGAACTAAGTATTTGAAAAACAATGTAATAACCATTCAAAAACTGGAAAAAAAAAAACAAAAACCTGTAAAACTATGTTTCCCACAATTTCAAGTTTTACAACATTCCAACATACTGTAAGCAAAAAATAGTTATTCATAATTTAAGGGTAATGAGTTCAGCTGTATACAATTCACTCAGCAGCCCCAGACAACTAAATTACTGCAAGTAATTTACAGAATCAGAGAATACAGAAAACATGTGTTCTTAAACATGTAAATATATTCTAAAGCAAGAATCAACTACTCCTGTGTCTTTATTTAAAAGATCTGAATTTTACTTGCCTGAAAAATAATCACTCATGCATGAAATCTTGCATCGATTTGCTGCTTGCATTATAGTAGAAAAAACACCTTTTTCCCCTGCTCAGATTCCTCCTTCATCACACAGATTTTGGAATAATTTTGAAAATGGTTTCCTTTACAGCAGGACAGGATGGTGAATACCGTCAGATTTCTTACGTTGCTGTCAGCATCCCCATAAATTTAGTACTCTTTCACAGACTACACTGCTACCTCAGAAAACCTAAATTTGTACACAAAAGAACATGGAAATTTATTTCTAATTGAGGTGTGGGTTCTCACTCTGTAGGTGACAGAATGAAACCTGAACACAACATCAATCAAACTGAGTCCTGCCCCATAATCAGCAAGTACTGTGCTATTGCAAATAAATACTTTCATCTCCGACAATGACTTTCAGAACAAGCCTGTTTGTCTTTCCTATCACTTACTCTCTCTAAATGAGTCACCATTCCTTGAGTTTGACATGATGATAACATCTTGTACCTCTGCATAGTGCAGCACCTTTTAGTTCTGTACCATGTGAAAGCATTACCTTCAAATCACAGCACGGACCGTTCAGATACTGACATTACTTCACCGGGCAGCAAGACATCGCCCAAACCTAATTAATACCCATATAATGCTTTGAACATGTATAAAAGTTTACAATAACTGCCCAGTAACAGTACTGAACTAAAACAAAAACTGGATAGTAAAATAATTCCTACTGAAATGGGTATGGAAATCATTGTAAGGTATACCACACATCAATATGGCTCCAAATGCATTAATTACTCCAGCTGCCGGCCAAGGAGGGGAGGGGAGGGGATAAATCAAATGCAGACCTTGCATGGTGAGAATTCTGCCTCTGAACCAAATGAAAACAGAGTTCATTGTCTTTGCTTTAAGTTCTTTCTTCTTTTCTCACAAAGAAACATGTCTAACTTATTATAAAGATTAATCACATGAATATTCAACCTTAAAACTAAATGCATTCTTTACCTGATTTAATATGCTTCTTATAAATGGTAATCCCACATATATAAGGCATAGTAACTCTTACACTTCTTTTCTTTACTTTAAATGGGAAAAGCGTCAATTCTTACCTGAACATTTGCTTCAGGCTGTGGGATAGAAGTTTTCATTCTGTATTCCTGTAGTTGACATTACAATAAAACACTGCCATGAGTCAAAAACAAATTTCCCCTTCCCCAACAAACAAAACATCATCTGAAATGCATTTCTTCTTTATATCATTCAAATTTATACCGGAACTATCCGTACAGCAAAACCCATGTTATTGGATCAGTGACTGATAAGCATAGAGGATTTGGCATATCAATACAGGAGAATCTTTGCTCTGTTGGATGCACAAATGATCAATGCATGGAAATTGCTGCACCTGGTTAGATTCATTGTCTCAACATTTTGCTGCAAAACCTTAGTTGCATTCTAGCATAGGTGCACAGAACAAAATCACCTCCAAATAAAGCATTTAATGGATCTATTCCTTTACAGAAGTGTATCACCCTAGCATACTTGTTACCTCATTTACACATCCACAACGTGATGTAGACATACAACTTCATTAAAAGAACAAAATAAAGCCTTTGCAAGGAGGTCAGTTAGTGAAAGCGCTCTGAAACACACTGTCAGAATAATTATGGAAAACCCATTGATGATCTAACAAACTCAACATTTAAGGAAGACACATCATTACATGTTTCTTCTGAGACAGAGCCACCACACAGTTTACTAATCCAATTTACGCTATAAATATCTGCAGTATCAAAACTCAGCAGTACCATAAATTCACAAATCTCATCTTCACTGAAAAGTAAGCACATGGAAGCACGAGAGCAAAGTAATACAAAATTCCTAAATTTACTGAATGACCAGTGAAGATTCTCCCGTCTACCACTGCTAGTTGACTTTTCATCCCCGAGCTGAAATGCATGAATAAATGAATCGCTCTCCAATTTTAAAGCAAGGCTATCTACGTAAAATCAGTTCCACAGAAAACTAACATACATTCTTATTTCCCCAGCCTCTGTCTGTGGTCTTCCCTTTGAAATACTTTCAGTTTTAACAGGATGTTAACTGATCTATGGGACTTGGGGCCAACTTTCCAAGTCATGAAGGTTAGCTAACGAAGATGCATATACATAAAATGCAATACCCAAGAGAGCAAAACAAGCCCAGAAATGTTCTCTGCAAGCACACAGCAACCCCAGTGAACAGCAATGCCATCCAGCAGCACTCAGGTTGAAAAGTCTTTGGTCACAAAAAGTTTTCGGTGGGTCAAGTAACAGGAGAGCTTAAGTAGTCTTAAATTTCTTCTTTATAAATGCAATGAAGAAGGCAGACTATTCATTAAATATAAAAGCAATTTTATAAAAACACATCAGAATTTTATTGCTTGAAGAATACAGCATATGAAAAAAGCACAAGAATGTCCAAAAGAAAGGTCACAAGGATCCAAACATATTACACCACACATACCAGATGCAGTAAAATGTTAACCTGAATTCTGCATCAGAAAATAGAGGGGTGAAAATATACCTAATATTATTTAAAAGAAAAAGACTCATTTAAAATAGAAAGGTGTGAAGGTGTTACAGTACAAATTAGAAAAGCCAACACTGCACATTAACATTGTATCACTAGACTAGATTTTCTACCTTTGGTACTTAAACCTTCACAGAAAACCACTTCCTTAATCAAACCTTGCCTAACACATATCATATAGTAGCTGTGAAAGGTTTTTCGTTCATTTTAACTTAAATATTAAAATACGTTTCTGAGTTTTCACTGCATGAATGCATTTAAGGAAGTTTTCACATTTCCTCTATATGAAACTTAATGCATCTCACACTTAAAAGTCACTAAGGGACTCAGACCTGAATATGTGCCAATTGTACCTTGTTCAGATCATTATGTAAAAATGGACACGATGTTTTCCATTTATATCCTTACACAGACTTGCTGCCCTCCTCAGGATCTGTGATTAGAGCAACCTGCTGAGGTCTTAGGTTAAAACAAACAAACTGCATTATTACAGAGCTATGAGATCATCTACAGCAGTATTCAAGTGGCTTTTCTAGTCTGCTCAGATTAGAGTACCAGGAGATATGCCAGTATTACTTCAAGTAACACATTAAAACCCAGTAATGGACACTACTGTGCTTTATTTCAACACAAAGAACAGCCGCTCATCCATTAATCAACAGAATTTTCAAATCAACTATCAAAAGGACTACTACAGTTCTGTTCCGTGTCTTACCGATCACTTTTGGGGAATACTTTGTCAAAAACCTGGACTTACCTACAAACCAATTTGAGTGATGCAAATGTTATCTTTCAAAGTATTTTAGTAATCCAGCGGCAACCTAGTGTGGAAAACATTAGCATTACGCTGACAACGATGACTTATCAAGGTTAAATAAAATCCCTCTTTTATTGTAAGCATGCTCTTAGCTTCAGCTTTTGCCTTCATAGGCTTGAATCATTCCCAGTTACATCAGTGGAACCAGAACAATTCTGTTTCATCAAGTTCCAGTTTTATATTTCAACAATATGAACATATCTGGACTACGCAATAACATCAACAGTTAACATTAAATTGGAGCAAAACAATAAGAAGAGTTAGTTTCCCAAAAGGGGCAGTCTTCCAAGTAAAATATTCAGTCGGGTCTGACTGTCAAAGGATGCAGTAATAAAACCATGGATTTATTTTTTTCCATCCCATACCAAAAAGGATTCAATTTGTACAACTCCTATTAAACATACATTTTCACCAAGCTAGGAAAGATACTGTTTTCAAATTGTAACAAGTGTGGTATTTGAGCATTTATAATATTTATTGCCATATATATCCGCATTTTAAAAAGAACAAAGAATTCAAAACTGTACTATGCTGAACTTGACTTTTTCCCCATTAACGGTACTGTACCACTCCCCCCCAAAACAATTAAAAATTCTAAGTAAGATTTCATAGTTTAGTTAAAAGGGAAGAAATGCAAATGTGAATTTAGAGCTTTTTGTATAAATCTCACTATATTTTATAAACTTGTTGTTTATTGTAACACTGTTTATTGATCAAATAAGTGACGCACTGCTATCTAAAATTTCCATATACACCATTAAAAATCCAAAGTCGATATGATACTGAACCTTAAATCTCCAAGAGTTCAAAAAAAGACAGTTTATACATGTACAGCACACAACAGCAGACACCCCTAGAATACCAACTGCCAGTCCATGATGCATACAAACTTACAGGTAAGCATTCATTTCACTGTTTTCATTGTGCAGGAAAAATATTTCTTAGTGAAGACAGAAACCCAGCTGGTGAATTTCAGATATCATCTTCATCATCTTCATCCTGAGAAGATCCTGCCTGATTGGATGCACTGGCTGAGGCAGCAGCAAGCTGTGCCTGTTGAGCTGCTTGTTGCATCTGCAGCCACTCTTGCTGTGCCAGTTCTGCTTGCTGTTGTCTAGCCTAAAGACATGAATTTAATTGTTAAGGTCATAATATAACTTGTGAAGAATCTCTAGCACACCTTAGCTATAAAAGCAGTTTTATCCACACCTGCAGATTCCTTTTATATAGTTTTTTATTAACTGTTCACACAAAAACATGTCTAGAAATACCTTTATTATTCATACTAGCTACATTCGCTCTTCCTCTGAAGAGGCCAACATTTAGAGGATTTATACTTTCCAGAACAAGTACACTAGTCCATGCCTCTTTAGTTTCATTGTAAGGATTGTGCTGAACCTCTTACTAATGGAAAAATCAAGCACAACAGAGCAACAAAAAAATATAGGGTTCAGTTTCAAGGCCTGTTAGCATTCAACCACCGTTCAGAGATGAGAACAGTCCTACTCTGTTGATTACAAATAGAAAGTTTGCAATCACAAAGTCATCCTCCCCCACAACACATAGTATTACAAAAACAAAACAAAAAAAAACCAACCCAAAACAACAAAAATAATCATGAAATGAAGAAAGCCATTATCTTACTTTGCTAGGCCATCTTTTGAGAAGAGAGCAATCTAAGCTCTTCTTAAATAACGACAGGCAGGTTGAGATGTCTTTGTTACAGAAAGGTACATTATCTGTACTTCAAGGTACAAGACGTTCTAACCAAATCCTTCAAGTACTTCACATGGTACATTCCCATTTTCCCATTTAGAGCTTTTTCTTGTTTTTCAGTAACTATTTTTGATTTCAACAGTGTGTTAAAGTTTCGATTTCTGTTCTGAATGAACATTAGAAGAAAGTTTTTTTAATTTAAAAGCCTTTAGTATTCTTTACTTGCTCACCAAATTTTCCTTTCTTTTTCCAAAGCATCAACAAATCAACTTTCCAGACTTCAAGACACCAAAAGATGGTGCTTCAGAAAACAGTGATCAAAACCAGTTTACCTATTTAGTATACATGAAAAAAAGAAGTCTTCCTATACTGTAAGAAGTGCCGCACTTTCTCAGCCTGTTCAGCACTTCTCAAAGAGGACTTTTCAGTATTTCTAAGTGGTAGTCAAGTTAAAAAGGAAAACAAGGCATTGTAAATTTGCAGCATCTGTACCCATAGCAGAGGCATAAATATTGATCACATATGAACTAATAGCCCTCCCCACTAACCTTGCTACAATTAAGTTTACTGCACATTCAGTGAAGCAATACACAGGAGCACACCAGCAATCAGAGGCTTGGCACTTCTCGCTGGATGGATCATTTTGTCTGTGTCTATCATTTACATCATTTATATGGAAAAATTCATGGATTTTCCATTTATATGGAAAAATTTAAATTTCTTCTCTGAAAGAGTGGTCAGGCACAGGAACAGGCTGCCCAGGGAGGTGGTGGAGACATTGTTGTTGAATGTGCTCATGAACCACTTAGATGTGGTACTGAGGGACATGGTTTACCAGGGGAAATATTGGCAGCAGGTGGACAGTTGGACTGGATGGTCTTGGAGGTCTTTTTAAACCTTGGTGATTCTATGATTCCATGATCATTTTCTTAAGGCTTTTCAAAAACTGAAGCAATGAAAAATTCCACTGAGTTGTATTGACTAAGAAGCCTTATCAGCTCCTGGGGTAAACTGAACTCATTTATTGAGCAACCCATTTACACAGGAACTTTATAAGCAATCTTTAGTAAGGAAGCCTCAAAAAAACAAAACCCTTCTGTTGATGACCTCATCTTACAAATACTTTTAGACATGTGTGAATATCAGAGGAACCATTAGACTGACTTCAAATATTCACTATCATCCTAGTACAGACTTATGTATAAATCAATTATGCTTAATTTAAGTAAAATAAGTATAATTTAATATACTATTAAGTAATATTTGCCACGTTGTAACATAATACTTTTAAAAATCAAATAAAAATTAACACAATTTGGTTAAACCTGCATGTATTGTCTTTAATTTAGGCTTTAAGGCACAGTATTATAGAATTAAAAAAAACACAAACATATTTCACGTGGTCAATTCTGTATATAAAGTGTGGCCTACATAAGGTAGTAATGGTTTTAGCATTCTTGTTTTATGTTACTTAGGAGGATGTACCCTCTCAACTATCTTTGCTGTTCTATATATCTATCATTATTTTGTAGACCATACGAAGTTTTTGAACAGTAGTTAAAAAAAAAAACCACAAATCAAGCTGACATATATAAATCAAACCTTAAATCAGAAGCAGCCATATTGGTCTTTCTAATAGTAGTACAATCAAAAAAAGTCCTAATTAGTTCAATGCATGCTGATAAGAGCCTTATGCATGCTGAAGCTTTAGATGGCAAAAAAATTAATCATGCAAATAAGATTAACATAGTTGGCACCTTATACCACAAAACCAACAGTTATGAAGTGTTTCAGCAAGATATAAATATAGTTAATTGGTGGGAAAGGAGGTCACAGTAATCAGGCATAGTAACAACTGAACAAGCATTTTCAGAGAAAATAAAATTATGTAAATAGAGAAAACAAGACTCATGGACTGGGAAGAGAAAACAGAAAGCAAAGATTATTTTCACATCATTTAGTTTAGAGAAAGACTGTCTTGTCATACCAAGAATAAGACAGAAACACAGCGTAGAAGGATAAATAAAATTAGCTTTTAGTTGTTCAAACATGGAAATGTTTACTATCAGGTAAAGCTGGGATGAAGGAGTATTTGCAGGCAAATTCTCTTCCTGTGCTTCAACTGCCTCCTTAAAAATTTATGCATGAATTAACTCAAATAGAATCTTGCCACAAGTAAATAAAGATGAGAAAGGACAATTTAGAATTTTTTAACAATTAATTGTTTCTTTCAAAGCCTCAGTGATTTGTGCACTGATGGCCACAAACAGAAGAGATATTCATGTTTTAAATGCAATTTTAAAAAATGGTAATTCCTAGAATAGCACCTCCATTTTTTATTTCCTCAACTAAGTAGTTCTTTATGTATTATTACAATACAATGGAAGTACCTGTCTCAGTAGTAGAGAAGGAAAAAAATCCTTTCTAAATCTAGAGTATAAAATTTGTATGCAGGCGTAACCACAAACAGTATCTTACTTACTGACCTGACTTTGTGTAACACAATCGGGACAAGATCAATAGCACCTTGGATGCTACAGCAGTCAACAAGGAAAGGAATACTTCTAGGTGTGTGTACATGTTTTTGCAGCATTAGATCCACCACATTAATTATTACAACCTCATCTGTGTAAGTGCTGCATTGCTTCACTTACTTTTGCAAATAATTCCTGTTGCTGCCTTAGAAGCTCTTCTTCTGGAATGCCGAGGTTTTCCAAGCGTGAACTGGCCTTTCTTCTCTTTAGTGCTACGGTTTTGCATTCTTGTAAGACTTCTTTTACTTCGCTGATATAGGAGCCAAAGCCCAAACTTTCTAGTGCTAGAAAAAATAAAATATTTATCTTTTAGAAAGCTTTTGATATCAGATACCAACATACATTTATTCTAAACATACATTTCTAAAAAACAGAAAGCGTTTGATCATTTTTCTGTCATTTGGTGATGAAAAGCTGTGTTCATGAGAACATCTGACAGCTACTCTCACTGCCTCTTCTCCTATGCCCTCTCAGAGTGCACACTAGAAATATAAAGTTTACTGAAGTACAAAAAGTCCTGGCTTGCAAAGCACTCAGGACTTCCAGATTCATTTTCCTAGAGAGGCATTACACTTAGAAGGCCTCTATCTTCATGTTCTGCATATCAGATTCATACAAAACTACAGAACCAAGATGCCCTTCCTATCTGAACTGTGATCCATTAATCTCTCAGTGATTCTATCTTTCATTTTTGTTGCAAGTCTTCAGAAAAAGTTAAATCAGCTACCTATAACAGAGAAAATTTTCATTAAGACAGCAATAATAAACGTAACCATAGAAATATGCTTTAGCTTTGTATCTGAATATCTGAATTCATTTTCCAGACGCCAACCAGCTAGAGATGTGTATTTTACATATACAGTTACATACAACTCCTTATTGTTTTGGAATGGAAATCCTTGTATTTATCACTACATGAAAATGCGTTCAGAAGCTAAAACAGCATTTTAACCTGCCCAGGGAGATCTGAAGTATAGCTGTATTCTGCAACGGGTTTTAAAGGTTAAGAAAGGTTAAAAGCAAAACAGGCAGAACATATGATAAAAGGCATATTTTGATACACCACTTGCTACCATATGCCTCCACACACATACACACACACCCCACAAGCAGAACCTAAAACAGAACAGGCTAGCAATGTTACACAGGCACCAACTTCTTAGAAACAAGCCCCGGTTTCATTCAACAGCCAGTTCACTTCCAGTAGTTACACAAGTCTGAGTTTTCCTTATAGAATGATACTTGTTTTAATATTTATCTTACTTTATTTCAACCTTACATAATAAGCTTTCCAAGAAATCACACTAAAATAAACTACATAACAGTAAATATGAACAACATTATAAACAAACTCTGATTTACAGAAGGCCAGACTACTTTCTAACGTGTTTCTAAGTGTTCTTTTCCTACCCATAACTGAGGGGCACGCCATCACAGTAACACAAAGCCACCCTGTAAGCTTGTGTCTTCCAACACATACAGGGAGATGATTAATACACTGCCTTCAATCTAGTAGAACACTGCAGCGGGACTGCCATTCTTTTAGGAGATTTGGCAAACATTTTACAAATGACTTTACATAATACCTATCTCTTAAGAAAGAGACGAACCAATTTAGAGATAATTAAATTACTCTAGACAGCATGCCAGTTCAACCTCAGCCCACGCAGACACTGGAACCATTTCAAATTAGTCCACAGTTTCTATGAGAATCACCAAAAGCCTTCTCTAACCTGTTTAATACAATCTCAGCAGAGAGGAGGCAAACACGTCTGATGGTGCAGAACTGGTTCTCTAAGCAGCCTATTAATATAAAGGAACTCATTTAATTTTAAAATGTAAACAGTAAATTCATTCAACTATTTCAAACTCAAAGTTTTTTCTTTCTAGCATTAAGGTGTTAAGAACTCTAAGTCGAACTTCACTAAGATGAACTATCACAGTGAATGCACAGATGTTCACCAAAAGAATGCTGATAGATCGGGCTTGGAAATCTGCTGCACTGGAGTATGAACAGCAGCCCAAATCAACAGCAAGTTGTATGTGCAACTTAAGAGAATGGAAATTAATGGAAAGAACTTATAGTTACATACTGAATACAAAATAAGCAATAACATTACGCCCGCTGCAAAGAAATGCTACTGGCAGTGAAACAACTTCAGAATTTCACTCTCTTGAAACATATTGTGGCTTTGTGGAGCACATGCATGGAAGGAATAAGCCTCTCTCTCTTTCTAAAGAAAGATATATATCTTTTTGAGTACCGTTCAGCATGGTACTCAAATGCTGAATAAATGTCTACCTGAGCAGAACTACCTGTTCACCAAAATCCAGAATCTTTCTATTTCTAGAGTGTTAAGTCTACACGTCTATCAGATTGCTGAAAACTTGATATATTACAGATGTTAGAACAATCCTACAAAATTTCAAAAGCTGGATCCCAAAATAGCGTGCTTTTGAAAGGTAAGGAGAAGGAAACTTTTACAGATGTCAAATCACACCTATCCTTTTTCTTCAGCTTCCTTAAAGACTGCATGAAGACAAAGATGTCCGATTAATCCATTAAGCATAACCACTTGTAGTTCTACACTTGTTTTTAATACAATCAGGTCACTCATATCTGAGATGTTTATCTTCATAGCCCTTCCAAAAAAAAGAAACTTCCAAAGTGAAAACTCAAGTATTTTACATTAAAGCACTAACTAAACAGTGCCAATATCCTAACAGCCCATGAAGACAGGCTACAGGATTTGTCATCAATTCTCAGCCCACCTTAGCGCATCTCAGCTTCACATAGACAAAGTAATTCAAGCAGTCAGCTTAAAAAAATATTTTCCTACGTCACCACGTTCAGAATCCAACAGAAGGCCAGCTTCCCAAAAAGCCCTCCTCACCACAACTTACAGAGCTACCAAGTGAGCCTATTTTCTGTTTCCACAGCTGGTCCCAGTATCTCTAACTGCTGCAAAAGCTCTCCATCTCCACTCAGACCATGACAGCACTGAAGTCTTTGGGCACTTTCCAGGAAGCAGATGCACATTTTATCATTAGTGGTGAGCGCTTGGCTCAGCCCAAGTAAATCTATCACACCAGATCTCTCTCAGGATGCAGGAAGCCTCTGCTTTTCTTTCCCTATGCTGTCCGTAGGCACTGTGCCAGTCAAGTGTTTGTGTTACCACACAAAAGAACACTGCAAGGACTTCACTCATCTGAAACAACCCAGCAGTGTGAGGGAAAGCATTCCAGCCCAGTATGTGGCCACGCAGCCATTTCTTCCTAGTGCAGTGGTGTGTCCTCTGTACCACTGCTCCAGACACGGAACTACAACAATGAAGCTGCAGTTTCAGGTTAGTTCTGACACAGCCCAGTGGCAGGATGTCACCAGCTGAAAGGGTGCCTTTGTCCCCTCTTTTCCCCTAGCCCCTGCTTCTAACCTAGCAACCTCTTGTTCACAGGAACAATCATATCAGCAACCTCATGTGACAGTGAACTACCTTCCCTGATGGCCAAGTTTTCACAAAGCCAGTATCAGAGAAGAGACAGCTACATCCAGCTCTAGAGAGGATGCAAAAGGATTCCTGTTGGCAGCAGCCTGTTCAGCTGTGATGCTATGTCCATATAATTTCTAAGGGACTTAAGTGAAACCATTAAAGGACAGGGTTAACTTAATGATCACAACAAACATGTATTTCAACTACTGAATTTGTTAGCATCATGGTCATGAAGCTATATTAAGGTACAGTTAAAGCAACAAATATCTACAGTGTTATACAAATATCTACATTGAAGGCGAATGGAAATGTTGATATGCTATCCTCTGTACACATCTCTGCCTGCAGAATGAACAGCCTGGACCGTCACCCTTGAAATGAGTACCATCTGCTGATGAGAACACATCTGGAGGAAGCACACTCCTGCAGGTGAGGAGAGCAGTAAATCCAGGAACAATCCATTCTGCCTCTGAAAGTATCAGAAAAAGCATCTCTCTCCAGAGCGTTCATCAGCAATATTTGACTAAAATGGACAGATCTAATACAAAAGCAGTTTTCAAACTCAATGACACAGAGCTCAGCAAAATACTTGTATGTATAACATTAGCAGTTGATCTCCAACCATGTATACGCATATTGATTTCGATTTGTTACCAAATTGCTGTTTGTAATCCTGTCAAGTAATTGCAACTCTCCTGGTGAGCAAGCTGCGACCAGCGAAAGAAAAAAGAATTTGCCTGTTTATCAACAGAAAATCTTATTGTTTTGTTTCTTAAACTAACTTGACACCATTATAATGTTGGAAATACCTCTACGGCAAATACTACTGCCAAGAGCTCTACCAAACAACAGAATGAAGCACTCTAGGGATCAATGTTATCAATTTGTTTGCAGTAGTCAGTGGTCCACTTTTTATGGAACAACCATTACTTCAGCAGCAAAGTGAATGGTTCGTGACAAAACGTGCTTACTGCAGACTTACACGCGAGGCAAGGAACCTCCCTACTCATGGTAGAACGAACATAAAGAAAAGCAAACGAGATGTACTGAGAAAGCTTTCATTCAACAAGGCGAAGTAGGAGGCAACAGCTGTGCACGACACAAAGGAATATATCGTTATTACGTGTTTCCCACAACAGATAGGAATAGCTGATTTTAAATGATTGAATTCTAAGGACACTTCAGGCAAAGTATCTCACTTTTTATGGAATCCATGCAAGGAGACTAAGCCCCACATGCCCAACCACGGGCCTTTTGTCAGTCTCCTTAGAAAGGCACTCAATAAGCTCAGGACCTTGAAACACGCTGTAAGAGAAAGCTGTACTGCCATTGCAAAGAGCAGCCCTCGTATCACAAGCCTGAAAAAGACTGCTGGACTCGGAGACCTCTCTCCAGACATCACACTTCTCTGAACGACAAGACAAGAGCCGGTGCTGAGCACACAGCCGTCCGTCAAACCAAAGACACCGTTCCCTCGCAAGGCACCGACCGGCCGGACCACACGTTGCATCCCCAAGGCCCTTAAGGCTCCCCTGTTGTCTCTCACACCGTCAGAACACAGCACGAAGGAGAAGCTGAGCGGGACGGGCGCGGCCCACGGCACGGCACTGCCGGAAGCTCACCTTGTATGACATGCTCCGGGGATATGGTCTTCTTCTCCGACTTGTTGCAGATCTCATTGGCCTCAGAGGAGATGAGGTGGATAAACTCCGTGCAGCAGTTGACCACCAGTTCCCGGGCATCGTTTGCCACGCGGACGTTGGGGAGCGTCTCCTTGATCATCTTGTTGATGGCAGCCCTAGGGATGGTGAGGTCGTCGTCGTTACCCGACGACGAGGCCATCCTCGCTGCCACCGGCCCCCGAGGGCCGCCCCGCCCCGCTCCCGCGCTCTCGAGCTGTCCTCGGCCCCCGCGCGGAGCTGCAGCGTGTGAGAACCGGCGAGGTTAAGCGGGAGGCGACGCGGCCGGGGTCGGCGCCGGGCGAGGGGAACGAAGAGCAACGGGCAAGCAGCTGCCGGCGAGGCGCCGGGACGAGGGGCCGGGAAGCGCTGCTCGGGCTCAGGGCTCCCTTGGCCGTGGCGCCTGCCACTGCCGCCTCCGCCACATCCTCTGGGACGCCGGCGCCGCCGCCTTACGAGCGGCCTGAGGGAAGGCGAGCCCCGGGGCACCGGCGTGGCAGGATCCCTTCCTCACGGGCGGCGGCGCCGGTAAAGGCTGCCGCGAGACGGAAACGGACCCTCTACGGGCTCGACCTGCGCGGAGCGCCGCTTCCGCCGGAAGTCGTAACGCGCTTCCGCCGCCCGGCTCCTCCCGCTCTCCAGCGAGCAGCGGAAGTGCTGGGGGCGCGAGGCCGTGCCACGTGCGCGCGGCGAGGTGCGCGCGCTGCCTGAAGCGGGGCGCGGTGCAGCCGCCGGCATTGGCAGCGAGCAGGAGACGCGCAGATGTGGCACTGAGGGACGTGGTTAGCGGCACGGTCGGACTTCGGCTTCTTGGTGGACTTCTCCAACCTTAATGATTCTAGAGTTCCGTGCTCTGAGCACCACCGGGCCCCGTGATGACAGACAGGCGTGAGCGGGATGCCCGTGGGGCTCCCAGCGCAGCCCTCCAAACCAGGCGCAGCCGGCAGCTCGGGCACTTCGGGGAGGCCGCGGCTGGATGTGAAAGACACTGCATTACCACAGCCATTGCCCGCACCGGGGCGAGCGCCGGGCTCGGTCCATACATGTGGGGAGCCGGGCTGCTGCGAGTCTGGGCACGAAAGGAGAATTACAGTGAGAGTGTTGACGGAGGGAGGGAGGCAACGCCCGAGGCACAGCACAGCCGCAGTGTGAACGTGCTGGGTGCCTCCTGCTGAGGGCACGAGCTTCTAGTCCCAGGCAGGGCTGACGTCAGGGAATGATGTGAAACTGGGGAGCAGGCAGCCCTGGTGAAGCACAGGTCCTTGGTGGATGAAGAGAGGAGACTCTCTTTATATTAGAACTGCAGCTGAGTAAATGCAGAGTAGGAAAGTTGGGCAAGAAAAGTCTGTGCTACACCTTCAGCTGCTTCGGCTGTATTGACTGGCATTTTTATTTACTTTAAAGGTGAATTCTAAGGAATTTGCTGATTTTTTCCTTGTAAAAATTGTCAGCAATAAAAAGCCCTTGTCTCCTTTCAGTAAAATAGTTACTTCTGTTAAAAACAAACAAACAAAACAAAACTACCAAACCACTGGGAAGACAGCAAGGTGTTATAATATGGTAATTTGTTAAAAACAAAACAGAGGAAAACAAAAAAACAACACTCCACTGTAATACATTTGTCAGAGCATCTGAAGGAAGCGTTCAGAATACCTTAGCTTCAATGGAAATAATAAATACTCTAGTTGTTGCACCTTAAGATCAACGAAACTTTTCACATATCAAATATAATTATTTGTACATTCTTAATAGCCTTCTGATGCAGTACACATCTCAGTGTGTGTTAGGTTATAATTGAAGAGAAGCAGGTTGATAGTAAATACTTAAGAATTTAATGTTTATCTTTGCACAAAATAAATAGCAATTCCTAAATTGCTAACTAAACCTGTAGATAGAGGATTTTAATTCCAAGGTCTCGCAGACTAAAGATAAACATACTGAGGTGAATTATCTTAAGCAAGCTCAGAGATCTTGAATGCCTTTATACAGTTACAGAACAAACAACAACATGGTGTTAGCAGTAGCTGTAACTAATATTCCAGCTTGTACAATCTCATACTTATTGTGATGAGGATTTTCCCAGGTCAAAGCTTTTTCTGCTTCTCCACCTCAGCAACTTGATGAAGTTAAGACTCGCACTGAAGATTTTGTCATGATGAAAAACCATTTTGTAGAATATATCAATTGGTAGATCTCCGTTTGGATCTGCATATTTCAGTGTTGTCATAGGTGTATACAAGGTATTTGTCTGATGACGAAAAGGTGGATTTTCCGCAAGTATTATCTTTACTGTATGCTGCCAAGAATTAGAATTGGAGTCGTTAAAGGACCTCTACTAAAACAGTAAATTAAAAATTTAGTTTTCATTTAAGTAGAGGAAAAGTAGATGAATAAAATGCTAGAATTGTGTGAAATGCTGTATGCAGCTTTATTAGAATTTTTTCTTCAAATATTTAAGGCTAGAATTATTTCTTATTTATTCATAGACCTATTTCTATTCCTCTACTCCACAGTGATGGCACTTTATACAAAGAATCCTGCACAGCCCTCCAAAATTATCCCTATATGCTCACAATAGGTAGTTAAACTGAATTTACTAGAAAAGGATCAGAACAGTGCACTTCACAGCAAGGGAAGCTTCACTGTCAGCATGTGTTGTGTGTTAGCAGTCAGCATCTGAAGTTGTTGTCCCTTTCAATAACTTGCCTCCAAGTGTCTTCCCAAAGAAAGCCCTGAACACCAAAAGCAACATCCAAGTATTTATATATATTATATAGTGCCTTTTGTGGTCTAGAGTAGTCGAGTCAACTTCACACCTCACTTGTGAGACAGAGGAGAGAGAATTTAAACAGGCAGAAACCCTGTGCAAATATAACAACGAGGAATGGCCAGATTTGACCAGATGATGTGTAAAAGAATGTGTCCACAAGGGTATTTAAATTAGTTAGCAACTGCCTTTAAGTGGAAAAAAAATATTCCTTAACATTCTGGTGAGTCTTGTTTAAAATTCTTGAAATTCTCTTAAGTTTTTAAAATTCTTTTAAGTCGCACAAATACAGTTTAATTTAATCTATCATTTTTACAAAACAACAACAAATATAAAACAAAATTATAAAAACAAAAACAACCAATGAACCAGTGCATTCTTAAATTAAGAAGAAAAACAGGAATCGTTGATGAGTTACCTCTGCAACTTCCTCAGCACTTTGTCCAAGGCTCTGAAAAATTTGTTTGTAATTTTTAAGGTAAATATTAGTAAACATGTCAGCTGTTTCCTCATCTGCAGCTGAAAGATCCATTTTCATTCCATCTTCAAACACTTTTCTTTCAAATTCTGTAACCACTGGACCCGGTTCAATCAGACTTAACCTATCCAAAAGCAAAGGTAGACAGATTGTTACTGTTCTCCATGTAAAATGTACCTTTCTATGCTTCTTAAAAATGTATACTGAAGAGTTGCAATCTGAGTTTGAGCTGGCAATCAATAGGAAGTATGTCTTAGCAAGGTGGCCCATATCACATTATTGGTCTGAAGCTGCTATCCATCCACATGGAGCAGAAAAATCTGCACAGCATATCTTTCAGGAAGGCACTGTAAGTTAACTCATGACAGAAGCAAGTGCAGTTGCTACTTGCCATCTGGAACTGCGGAATCTGATGATTATTTATCCAAAAGCACTTCAGAAACACAAAGAAAAATAATTTAGAGATGATAAAAAATTCATTACTTTCTACTTTCTGGACAAAATTCCACATGATCTGTTTTTGTTAATAGTTTTCCCATGATGATAGTAGCTGAAAGAGAATGGAGTTACCCAAACGTGAACTTTTTGTCAAGTTGTCAGTGTTACATAGATTCCCCTACATTACTGCATAAAATACTGAGAATTTTGCTGTTGACAGACAGATTTAGTTGCTAACAAATACAAAAAATCTGATTTTGATCAGTAGGTACTGCAGCAAGTCATAGGAATACAGTTACTGGTCAGCTCTTATTTAGTTCAGCTCTCAGGTAGTAATTAACCAATCCCAAAACACTCTTTGGGATAGGATCTCTTTCCAGAGTTGAATTTCAGGCAGGCTTTTCTTCAGAACTAATGCAGTATTATAGTCTTATAATCTCATTAGGGTATTTATTTTAAATCCCTCCAGACTGTTCAGAGCTTTATGTAAAATCAAAGTTTGGAGGCAGCTTTGTCTCTGGAATTCCATGTCAGCAGTTGTCTCTTTTCCCATAGCACAAGAGCTAAGCACTCAAGCACACACAGATGTAACAATGCTTAACAGTTCTTGAATTTGACACAAAAAATAGTTTCAGCGTGAGTATGTGTGACAAATCCAACACTGAAGTACCACAATGAACAGGACCATTCTCTCAAATGCTGCCTTGAACAGTAAGAAATACTACACCTCGTTCTTACTGCTTCCCTTTCAACCTCCTGTCCCAGTAGAAATCTCACCCGTGTTCCATTCTGATGAATTTGTGTGATCTTCCTTTTTCCCCTCCCTCATCATACTCCCCCTTCTCTGTCTCCCTGAGTCCTTCACCTTTTTTATCTCTAGATTCCTTTCAAAAGGAAAATACAGGTTTGTATTATTTCTACTGTAATATTATTTTTAGTATATGCAAGAATCTGTTCTCAAAAGTACTATTCATAGATAAAAGCATTTAATTGCCATGGCAGTATGTTTATCTTAGTATCAAAACTTTATTTGATTGTGCATGTGAAGAATGTGGACATCTCTATGCTTTTCATGATGTACAATTTCCATGGGTTCCTCAGTCTGTTTCTCCTAGATAGCAGCAAGCTTTAAGGATCTGTTTGGTAGTTCTGAACATATCTAAAACTGTCTCAAGAATAGTTTACATCTGTGGATCAATACTTACTGCAGCTTGAACTTGAGTGCTTGTATAGCTAAACTTTCGCAGAATCCTTCTACCGCAAACTTAGACGCAGCATAAACATCATTAAATAAGATACCTGATGGTACAAATAGAACATCCTGAGAATTGTATTCAACAATTATTTTACTTTTACAAACATTTGTATTTTCCCAGAATTTCTGTAGTCTTGCTGGGAGAACATTAAAAAATCACCTGTGTATATTGGTCTAGTGAAACAACACTAACTATACTAATTACTATTGGTTTATTTGCATATGTTCTCCAAATTGCTTATACTAGGAAAGCATGGCTGACTAACACTCTTCTTCCTCCTAGCTGATGCTGTGATCTCTTTGGATCATAAGTATTTTGTAGTCTAATGCATTAAAGTGCATATACAATATGCACTTATGTACACAATACCATTCACATTATTTACCAGCAAAACTTTTAATAGACAGTAAGTAAACACAGATGCTGAGCAATGTGGGAGATTTGATTATGCAAGAGATCCCGCTTGCACTTGAGGACTTGTAAAAAGAAGTGTAACAGTCTATTTAGGAGAATGAGAAGTACAGTATTAAGGAAAACTGTAAGGGTTGTTATTGCTTAGGATTCGTCTCACCAGAACAATCCAGGCATAAA